ATCATCAAAACTGCATCAGTCATAACCTGTCAACCCAGTCATAAGTCATCACAGACCTGTCAACCATCATAAGTCATCACAAACCTGTCAATCAGTCACAAGTCAGCACAGACCTGTCAACCAGTCATAAGTCAACACAAACCTGTCAACCAGTCATAAGTCATCACAGACCTGTCAACCAGTCATAAGTCATCACAAACCTGTCAACCAGTCATAAGTCATCACAGACCTGTCAACCAGTCATAAGTCATCACAGACCTGTCATACGTTATTACAGACCTGTCAACCAGTCATAAATCATCACAAACCTGTCAACAGTCATAAGTCATCACAAGGCTGTCTACCAGTCATAAGTCATCACAAACCTGTCAACCAGTCATAAGTCATCACAGACCTGTCAACCAGTCATAAGTCATCACAAGTCTACCAGTCATAAGTCATCACAAACCTGTCAACCAGTCATAAGTCATCACAGACCTGTCAACCAGTCATAAGTCATCACAGACCTGTCAACCAGTCATAAGTCATCACAGACCTTTCAACCAGTCATAAGTCATCACAAACCTGTCAACCAGTCATAAGTCATCAAGACCTGTCAACCAGTCAGTCATCAAACCTGTCAACAGTCATAAGTCATCACAGCCTGTCAACCAGTCATAAATCAGACCTGTCATACGTTATCACAGACCTGTCAACCAGTCATAAGTCATCACAAACCTGTCAACCAGTCATAAGTCATCACAGACCTGTCATACGTTATCACAGACCTGTCAACCAGTCATAAATCATCACAAACCTGTCAACCAGTCATAAGTCATCACAGACCTGTCATACGTTATCACAGACCCTTCAACCAGTCATAAGTCATCACAAGGCTGTCTACCAGTCGTAAGTCATCACAAACCTGTCAACCAGTCATAAGTCATCACAGACCTGTCAACCAGTCATAAGTCATCACAAACCTGCCAACCAGTCATAAGTCATCACAAACCTGTCATACGTTATCACAGACCCTTCAACCAGTCATAAGTCATCACAAGGCTGTCTACCAGTCGTAAGTCATCACAAACCTGTCAACCAATCTAATCACAAACCTGTCAACCAGTCATAAATCATCACAAACCTGTCAACCAGTCATAAGTCATCACAAACCTTTCAACCAGTCATAAGTCATCACAAACCTTTCAACTAGTCATAAGTCATCGCAGACCTGTAACCCAGTCATAAGTCATCACAAGGCTGTCTACCAGTCGTAAGTCATCACAAACCTGTCAACCAATCGTAAGTAATCACAAACCTGTCAACCAGTATCATCACAAAACCTGTCATCCACAAACCTGTCAACCAGTCATAAGTCATCACAGACCTGTCAACCAGTCATAAGTCATCACAGACCTGTCAACCAGTCATAAGTCATCACAAACCTGTCAACCAGTCATAAGTCATCACAAACCTGTCAAACCAGTCATAAGTCATCACAAACCTGTCAACCAGTCATAAGTCATCACAAACCTGTCAACCAGTCATAAGTCATCACAGACCTGTCAACCAGTCATAAGTCATCACAAACCTGTCAACAGTAAGTCATCACAAACCTGTCAACCAGTCATAAGTCATCACAAACCTGTCAACCAGTCATAAGTCATCACACCTGTCAACAGTCATAAGTCATCACAAACCTGTCATACGTTATCACAGACCCTTCAACCAGTCATAAGTCATCACAAGGCTGTCTACCAGTCGTAAGTCATCACAAACCTGTCAACCAGTCATAAGTCATCACAGACCTGTCAACCAGTCATAAGTCATCACAAACCTGTCAACCCAGTCATAAGTCATCACAGACCTGTCAACCAGTCAATAAGTCATCACAAACCTGTCAACAGTCATAAGTCATCACAACCTTGTCAACCAGTCATAAGTCATCACAGACCTGTCAACCAGTCATAAGTCATCACAAACCTGTCAACCAGTCATTAAGTCATCACAAACCTGTCAACCAGTCATAAGTCATCACAGACCTGTCAACCAGTCATAAGTCATCACAAACCTGTCATACGTTATCACAGACCCTTCAACCAGTCATAAGTCATCACAAGGCTGTCTACCAGTCGTAAGTCATCACAAACCTGTCAACCAGTCATAAGTCATCACAAACCTGTCAACCAGTCATAAGTCATCACAAACCTGTCAAACCAGTCATGTCATCACAAACCTGTCAACCAGTCATAAGTCATTCACAGACCTGTCATAAGTCATCACAGTCAAACCAGTCATAAGTCATCACAGACCTGTCATACGTTATCACAGACCCTTCAACCAGCATAAGTCATCACAACTTGTCTACCAGTCGTAAGTCATCACAAACCTGTCAACCAGTCATAAGTCATCACAGACCTGTCAACCAGTCAGTCACACAGACCTGTCATCATAGTCATCACAGTCAACCAGTCATAAGTCATCACAACCTGTCAACCAGTCATAAGTCATCACAAAACCA